CAGTGCGTTACTGTAAGGTTACTATGTTAGCCGCATTGATCCCACATACCTAATTCTAAACACAACTTATAAGGGAACTGTTTAGTAATCATAACATTGAACTGACGATATGAATATCACGGCTATGCTAGCATTAAACCAATTATTATAAGTGGCCCATACAAAGTCGTGGAACTTAACACTACAGTTATAAAAAAGACATTTTATGTCAATAACTGATAGATATATATATAAAATGGAAATTTACTAAACTTTTTTTCTATAGTAATAATATTAATGTAAACAAAGAGCTTGTACTTTTCCAATATGGCACTTTGACATATCAATCTGTCCTCTTGTCCATTTTTCTCTCATATCTGAGCGACTTACAAGCAACAAACATCGTACTGAAGGCGGGTTCGGTGAACAAAAACGCAGGCCCCACACGCTCTCGAACTTCTGCCCTCCTGGATGCTAGACCGCGTGCTTAGCCGTTAAACCACATCAGACCACGGAGGAAGTGACTTCAATATTTCCTTACACCAATTAATCACTCATAATACTAATGAGTAGTAGGACTTCTGAGGTGCAGAACAATTCGTTACTTAGATGAATTGACGAAATATTGCTTCAATATAGTCACAAACATTCATCTGGTTATCGCTTCTAAACTGTCTGTCACCTGTAAGTTCTTTAAATAGTTTCCACATAATAATAATAATATTTATTCTCAAATAACAGTTTGTTACATGAGGCATGCCAGTTTACAGGCAAGATCAAATTGATACAAATGATACAACATCCACTGTAGTAAATTACATAGCTGGGTTGATAATTTATAAGATATGAATGTAGATGGTTTTAATCAGTACCACAGCTGGCGCGCTTCATGAAAGTTGCTTTGCAAATGTGCAACTGATGGTCAAGGATAGGTCCATCGAAGGTGGGAGCTTCTAAATGTCGCAACCTTATGTCCCTTTGGAATGTCTAAGGCTTTGAGGATGGTGCAGGGTAAAATCTTTCGCTCCATATCACAAGGGGGCTGAAAGAGGGAGCAAGTAAAAGAAAGGACGAGAGGCAGAGTAGCCAATATTCATGAAGGAATGTTTAAGGTATGATTACTCAGTCTAATTTTCTTTTAATAAGGTATTTGTTAAGAAAGAGCATTTCAATAGGTTAAAGAAAATAAGTGAACTGACAAAGGGAGGCGATTTGGAAAGGAGCTGAGAGTATGGGTTTATGTGTGGTTATAAAATAAAGTATAGTGCTGGAGACAGTGTTGTGATATACAATTGGCTATCTTCCTTTTATTATCGAAGCTATTAGAGCCCCTTTCGTTTTCTTTTGTATTATTATTTTTTTCAGGAATTATAGGGTCTTGAGTAAGCTTCGTATATTAGCGAATTGTCTAGTTTGCTTGTAATAGGATTTCTGGGTAGGAAGTGAAACCAATTCAACGTTCGTAACACTATTTAAAGAGGTATTTTGCGTGATAAATCAGCATCAATACCATAAGTTCGTGACATCCCACTAAACCATAAGGATCCGTAATAAAACAAATATACTTTGAGAGTTTTTGCAAAACAAGAGTTTTTGAGTAAACATACAGTTGAGACGTCTAATCTCTAGATTTATCAGACCATTTAGCTTACGAACTTCATTATAGTTCTGCTCCTTGTATATTCTTTCTTTCATCCTCCGTTTTCAGTGGGACAACAAATATCAAAACAGAATTTAAGGTAACAAGTGATAACTTCAGTAGTGTTTTCGAGTGAGTCATCTGTAAATAATTCCCAGTTAGTCGTATGAAACATGTTTTTCAGATTTCGGATATTTTCTTCTGAGTAATTCCTATATTTGGCTTTCTTGGTTAGATGTAAGAGTGTACACTTCCCATGCTTTCCATATACTGTAGGTAGAACACGAATTATACAGTGATCCGAGCTAGATAATGGGGCACGTTTACGAGTCACATATATACCCACATCATTAATGAAAACGAAGTCGAAATGAGCATCCAAACGAGTAGGAAATCTACTACGTTTTGGTGACCTAGTGACGTAAGGAAGCTACAGTCACATGAATTGAAATCACCACATACAACTGAAAGTGAATCACTGAAGGCAGTAACAGGTAACTCAGTGAATTCATCAGCGAAAACAGACAGTGCACATGATGTGCAATCTGGAATCACGTAGATATTGGTAACATAAAGATATTTGTATTTATTCAGATGTTCTGGACGACATCTTAGAGTTAGACAGTCGATAAAGTCATTTGAAAACCTAAAACACACAAACGAAGATTGACGCCAGTTTATGTTTACAAACGTAGCTACACCGCCACCACACCTCTTTCTTTGTTCGATCGATCCTGACGATAAATTTTGATATCATGTAGTGATACAAGGCAGTCATCCTGTAAATCATGGAACCAAGATTCTTGAATTGTGATGACACCACAATTACGATACGTATTTTGACTAAGCAGGAATTGCAGATAGTCCACTTTGTTGATTAGTGATCGGCAGTTAGAATTTAGTAGCTCGGGAATCGACATACGATTGATGTTCATTCTCTTTAACGCATATTGCCAACCACCACGAAGTCTTTCCATAAAAGCGCCTGAATAGGTTATGCGATTAATGGACATAATTATAAGTTAAAACAAACGAAAATACAGATAACTGGTTGAAATAATCAGATGGCAGAAACAGGTAGCCCAGATATTCAAGCAGGCCGCCTAATAATGGGGCTCAAAGACAATTGATCGCTGGGGTCTAAACGTGCTTTCTATGGATCATCGTGCTAAATATTCTGCATGGATAGTTATTGAAATAGTCACCAACCAAATAGATGGTATGCAAAATTCAAATACTGAATGTCCTCTGCATCTGTTTGGTGGATTCCGCTTCCTTAAGGAGGAAGTAATATATTTTATATCCATGGTTGTGGTACACTATAGCTAGTTTAATGTCTTTCCTTCAACATGCCATTCGAAATATTACGGACTCCGAGCCGTGTTACAGTGTCTTAACAAGTCGGATGGTTGAATTTAATGGCAACACTATCGTCACAACTCAGTCTAATTGTTCTACAGAGTGGAAACCCCATCAGTTAGATTTCACTTTCATGTCAGCCATGTTCTCGAGATTGTGAAGACAACTGTTAGATTACATGGTAGACTGTTGGCTGTGAATGAGGTTAGAGTATCAAATCAAGAATACCAGAGCTATCCTATCATCCAAATACTGTGCACAGTTGAGAGCAAATCAGACGTAAATAATTTGTCGCCTCAATCTAACTAATTTAACTGGCCATTAAAATACCTTTCAGTTAATCACTCCTCACACCGTAGCACGACAGTGACGAATAATCACTACTAAATCATGGTCCCCCAACAAGAAGAATTTCAACATGACCAAGAGAGAACCGATTTCCCATCCGTCAGCTTGAATGACAACAGCAATATATCATGTGTCAGTTGTGTCACTAGGTTATACCTACTCGTTTACCAGGTTAGAAGCATTGATGCAACGAAAAATTAGTTCCATTTGATGTTTACCCACTCAAGGATAGTTCAGCTCCGAGACTTAGGGATATGGTACGCAGTCACGTCCGAGACCGTGTATTTGATTTCTGAAAACCGTCATTTAATGCTGTCGGAGAGACTAATATTGAGGCTGAAATATATTTCCAACCCATTAAGCTTGTGAACGTCTCCTAATCATAAATCATAACCCATAGCAGACGTGTGAACAATCAAACACCATTATAAACAACAGACCATAGAGAGAAAGCGTCTACTACTTCATCTACAACATTTAAGAGAACTTCAAAATTTCCCACCGTCTGACGAATTATTTACCACTCCTACCATAGAACATGAAGATGTCACATATATTCAGGATTTGACGACCATTTTTTCGTTAATACCTTTATAACCGAAGGATACCAGCCCAGTCAGACCAAAAGTCAAGAATGAACGAGTTTGAAGACATACTTGGATGGTTGTCAATATGTTGAGAAGCGTTTGATCTAAGCTGGCTAATAGTTGCAAAGGATATGTAGCACTGTGTAGCACCCACTCGTGATCTGGTGTGTAATTTATGGTCGGACGCCTTCAGCTAGGGTGTGTCCAGCAAAATTAGTGAGGTCAGCATCGAACTTGAAGACCTAAAGAGCTACATATTCTGGGGATTTATTCGCCACTACAAACGCGATATAACCATATATTAATTAGCATTAAGTATCTTAAGTAATGAACTGGGCAATAACATGTCTCATCTATTTGTCTTCTTTCAAAACAAACTTCCATGACACTATAAGAAGGTTCATAAACTGCTATCGAATAAGCTGGAAGCAGGATTCTGTTTTCCTCATCGAGTGATCGACGATTAAGATGCCCTACATGAATAACTGATATTAACCCCAACATTTTTCCGAGGGGGAAATTCGGTTATGTTGTGAAAAAGCTGAGAGAAGTAACACAAGTCACTTAAAATACTATTTTTATTGCCGAAGGTTAAAGGTTGAGATATTGAAATACGGCGGCCATTCAAAAAGTGAGCGACCATGTGTATTTGAAGGTAAACTTCCTATTGAACTTTTGCAGTTATTTCACGCCTTAGGTAATGTGAAGTTGGCTTATTTCACATTGATGTATATAAACCTAAATAGCTCTCAATTTGAAAGGGATTTGGGAATGTTGGTACCCTATGTATCATATGATATAAAGTTTTTACGTTAACTGTACAAAAATGCCTTTCGAGCAAACCTTGCACTGGTGATATTTGAGTGCATTTTTAGCCAGTTTGATGGTAAAAATTTCCACTTAATCTTTAACAGTTTTATTCGACTGCATTTTGGCGAGTAGTAACTGGAGACAAAGACGCATTTACTCTTCAGGCAGACTTAAATAATATGATAAACTGGTCTAAAGAGTGGCTGATGCCTATCAACTCGGAAAAGTGTGTCTGCATCCACTTGGGGGATTCAAAGGTTAATACGTACAACATAGGGGATGTGTCATTACCAGTAGTCCGGTCTCATAAGGATCTAGGGGTGACAGTGAGTAATGATCTTAAGACGACAGCCCATTGCCGGAGGTCGCAGCCAAGGGTTTTCGAACCCTCTGGGCTTCAAAAAGGACATTCACTAAGTTAGATACTACCATGTTCACCACAGTATACACATCCTTAGTGAGAACTAAGCTAGAGAACTGCGTTCAGGCTGCAAGCCCCTGCTTAAAAGGTGACTCGGACATACTAGAAAAAGTACAGAGGGCAGCTACCCGTCCAATTCCGGATTTCCACGGTTTATAATACAAAGAGCGGTTTGAAAAACTAGACCTCTTTACTCTGTCCTATCGCAGACTAAGGATAGATCTAATTTTGATGTACAGACCTTGAAATTCCTCAAACACTTCTGATTGGCTCGTCCATAAATTAGAGACCTACCAATACTGAGAAATGATTTCGGACCTGACTTATTCTCTCTCTCTTTCTTCCCACTAGATCGGGACACCTCAGAGGACATAGCAGGCGAGTAGAAAAGCCAAGAACGACCAAAATACCCGTGGCATACAGGTTTTCACACCGAGTCGTCAATACTTGGAACCTGCTGTCTAAAGCAGTGGTGTCCACACGTTCATTTGACTCCTTCAAGAGAAGACTGGACATTCACAGAAGCATACTAGAAAAGGAATAACATAGGCCGTAGGTCTTCTGTTCTTCCTACACAAATCTGAATCTGATTTAGAGTGTGGAAATAGTATTTCCTCCCTCACTCTAAAAGGATAAGGGTACACTGTAACGTATCCGATGGAGCCACGATAACAGTCCGGGGAATTGAATCCAAGCCTTATGAAGAGCGCATCAAGCCACGAGACCGTTACTCATTAGATTATAGGCGTCTCAGAGGTTACCTAATAACCTACAACATCCTAAACTTCTCTGAGATCCCTTTAAATACCTACTTAAGCTCAGTCTCAACACAAACGTTAGGGATAGTACCTAGAAACTGGAAGCACAACATAGCAGAACGGACTGCAGGTATACCTTCTACTCCTTAGGAGTGGTCAAATGCTGTCATTCTCTGCTTGTCGTTCTGGTCCCTGAGACTTCCCAGGAGTCCTTTAGGTGACCCGCTTCGGTTTGGGCACCCGGGCAGTATCCCGACCGTCTCTTACTTACGAAATAAAATTCTGTAAGTTTAAACTATCGCAATCAAAATACTTTTTACTTTTAATTTTGAATTCCAACTCTTCAATACATTCAAATGCCGTAGTCAACATATAGAGGTTCAAATACCTCTACTTCGAAGCCATAGTGATGTTTGACCATTCTGTTTTTTTCACGTACATGGTCTCAATCAAACATAAAGGAGAACTTTCAAAATAAGTTCCCACTTTTTGCCTACAATGGGCAAAAAGAAGACATTTTTCTAAAGTATTACGCGTCACTGGGAAAGGTAGACTTCACCTCAATACACATCAGGTTTATTTATTTATTTGAACACAAATATTGGTACAAGGAGGCACTAGATAAATATGAGCCTTTACTTTCCTATTTTTTTTGCTTTGGCTCTATCGAAACCATTATATGACCTGTCGCAAATGCGTGTCAACCCGTTATCGAATTAGCGCAATATGAATACTGAAATTGGTCCGAATAGTAGTAGAATCAATGATGAGAATCTTTTCCATCACTCTTTATTTGCCCGTAATTTTTCTCCCTCTTGTTTTCTATTGTTGGCATTATTATTTCCGTCCTTTTGATATCTTCCCGTAGTAGTAAATCAAGATGATTTGGAATAGTATGCATTTATATTGAACTATACTGTTTGTTTTGTGTTAGACCATAGTGTTTACTTTTCTCATCTGATTTTTAGTTTACCTTTCGAATAACTAATCTATGTATTCATAATTTCAGGGGTAATGGTTCAAGAATCGACATCTGTTTGTGTTGTTTTTAGTGGGAAAAGAAAATCAGGCAAAGATTATACTGTTAACCGTCTAACTAATCTGCTCCAATGTAATCATCTTTCTTGTTTAGTAGTACGAATAAGTGAACCAATTAAATCGTATTTCGCTGAGCATTATGGATTGGACTTGTCTGAATTATTATCCTCGAACAAATATAAAGAAAAATATCGAAAACAAATGATTGATTGGATGGAACAGGAAATTAAGCAAGATCCTTATATATTCACCCGGAAATCATTGCTTGAAAGTATTAGACGATGTGGGATACCTCATCCTGATATTATTATTATCTCAGATGCCAGAAGGACGAATGATGTGGAGTATCTCATCAGGACATTTGGTCGATCCAAATGTTTGTTAATACGTATTGTCACACCTATAGAAGTTAGAATCGAACGAGGTTGGTCATATGTTGATGGGGTTGATAATGCTATGTCCGAGTGTGGATTAGATGAATTCACTTGTTGGGATTATATTTTATCCAATGATGGAGACGAAAGTGCATTTAAAAACCATTTAAACGATATTGTTGCACTCATTAAAGAAGTGCGAAAATGATCCTAATGCTTATTATGCAGTTATTGATAATAATGTTTGATGCAAGTGTAGTCGTTTACGTTGTATGGACACTTTCAACAGGCGTTTACTGCAACAATGCTGAGACGTACTTTTGAGCACTGTCGCAACTGAACGAGTTTACTTCTCATATGATCGTTATTCTGGCTACAAATTTCCAGATTGTTTGAGAAATAAATCTTGTTTGGTTATTGGAAATAGGATACTGATCTGCTTCAGAAAATCCCAGTCGACTCAGGTCTAGATTTATCTATTTATGAGATTGTTCCTGCATAACTCATGGGATCTGACTTGAAAACCCTCACGGTCAAATATATATTCAGTGTACATTAGATAGTAAATATCTTCATTTTTAGTAAAAGCAATTTTTTTCCTGAGTATGTCACCCATCATTTTCATAATAAATTTTTATAGACATATTCTTTTTGTACTAGTGAGACTATAATATTTGCCGTAGATCCAACTCCGTTAATGCTTATTCTAAAAAAACGTTAAATTCAAACGAATTCACCATAAATAATGGCTGGTTAACCGTACATAACACGTCCTAACCGCCTCAGTTGACGAAGATATACAGCCTCGTTAAATCTGTCCTCCAACTTTTATTTAGCCAACTACTACATTTATATTTTATGGAGTTATACAATGCGGTAGTAACCTGTTGCTTAGTTTCAGATTCCGCAACACAGGCTTTATACTTGAGTCTCTCCTAGGAACTATTAATTTAATAATAGACTTTTCCCAATTGGTGGTGTTGTTTAGGTGATGGTGTAGCCGTTTTTGTATTGTTTGTTCGAATCTTCCCATTGGTGTTTAGGATTGCAATTAATCAGTTTCTTATTGGTATATGTTTGGGGCGAACGGTACTGTATTCGAGTCCCGGTGTGAACATCAACTCTAGGATGCGAGTACATCCAGTCGACGAGTTTCAAATAGGTCGAAATGCACGTCCTGAATTCCATTGCTAGCCACCATCCATCTTTGTTTACAATAGTGTAACCACTTGTTACGATTAGACTATGTTCTATCCAGTACATTTCATTAATATATCTTTAGGTAGAATTCTCATATTGTTCTTAATTATACGTTTAAAATTCCTTCGTAGTACTTGCACTACCTAGTCGAATCATTTCAAAAGATGAGAAAATAAAGTATTCATTTGGGTTATCACATTATTTAATAATTCAACTCACAGTAAATCGCGAATTTGTTTTGAATTAACTGCAACTCATTTGCTGAGCACAGGTTGTGTATTCAGCTTTGAGCAGGGCTTTCTATTTAAGAGCTTTTGTTACTATCCTGTTACCCAGACTAAAGTAACTGGAATGAATTTTGAAACCTAGATAGTGCTGATTGTAAAAAAGCTGTATGAAACAAAAGACGGTCACACATTAAGGAGGCAGTTTCTAAAGAACAGCCATCTGTACTGATCGATGCATTTAATCATCTGGCTTAAAGAATTCACTACTACGAAATCTAAATTGTAAAAGAATTCCATTTTCGTTAGTTTGGCTATTAGTCTTGTTATAAAGGAGTTTACGGTTTATTAACATTTGATGTATAGATAAGCAGCAAACAACTGATCAAAAGTAGTGTCACACTGACTTTTTTAAATGTGGAAAAATCGTTTTCACCCATCAGTATCATAAGTGAGGGTGGCTACAATCGATGCATTCACCTTAGCTGACAATGACACCAATCATGACGATAAGCACAGTTCCTGTAGTGCAAGCACATTCTCGTCAGATATTCTCTTTGTTGCTGTAGTTATGTCCAATATTATTTCTGGGCTATAGTAGTTCAAATTTTTATCTAGTAAGTAGTATAATGATGTTGGATCAATAATAGTATGAAGACTAATATACCTTCAAGTTGACATATACTGCGATATAAGATTAAAAAATATCTGTTCAGCAAGGAGTTCTTTTTTCAGTAAATTTGTTCCTAAAGCTGAAACATGCTTTATTCACAATAATAATCAGTGACATTATTCATGAAGACAATTTACTCGCCATATTGACAGTGCAGCAAAAGTGTTTATTGTTAAAATATATATATTCGTTAAGAGCTTGAATATTCATTAAGAATGTCATTAAAGTTAGTGATTAGTAATTGTAAAAGTGAGTTATGCAATGGTAAAAGGAAAATACTGGAGTGGGGTGTAACGAGGAGTTATGTGGAAACAAAAATAATCCGTAGTTCAAATCGTGAACCGATCTTAGACCATCATTGTAAATCAAAAAGCACTGGACAGCTGTTTCGTCATAGTACGAGACAGCAGTGTATACCCACGACTCCACAACCCGAAAGTCTTGGGTTCGGTGCCTTGTGGTCTCATACTGTGGTGGTCTAATTAAAATCGGTTTATTATTTGAACTACGGAAGCTCTATAATCTCCACTTTTTAATTGAAGTAATCCACTTCCTGTTAAAAGTTCAATAAAGTAGTGGAACGGTGGAGGTTAAGATAATCGTAATAGAAGTCCTGATAGGTATCTTTTGTCTGAATAGTTTCTAGATTCATGAAAAAAGCCTCAATAATCCATAGAAGACAGAATTTCAGTGTTTCTATACACTATATCGGTAACTTTTAACAATGAGTGTGTCTTTATCGGATTATTCGTGTTCACAAACTATTTTCAATTACCAAGCTTCCTATAGTTAGGTTCCTACTTTAAATATCTAGTCTGTCTTCAAATTCTTCAGGGTCATTAACTATTACATATTGAACTAATTTCCCAGAAAATTGTGGGATACTTTGGGTGTGTTCACTTTTGATACAGAAACCATTTGTATGTCGTTAAAAATCTATACAAATGTTGGACTCAAGGAAGTAAATGATCAATAAATCTTTGAAAGGTTTGTACACGAAAATTGTAGTTTCATAATTTAAAGGTGAATAATTCGTTTGCATTAGATTCAGCTATGTTCTTTGGTTTTGAAAAAATGTAATTCCGTAAACTAGCTAACTATACATTTGACAACATCCGCTCCACAGCTATGAAACCACTAAAATTATTGTTCAGTGAGTAGGACTTCCTTGCCAGTGGCTGTATACGCGTGCACATGTGAGAGCATTGGAAGAGGGGGAGCCAACTCTTGGTATTTAGCATGCTTCAGTAGAGTTTTATTAAGGCACATGAATATTTTAGTTAGTAAAACGCACTGACAAAACTGTTCACTTTATTCAGTTAAACTCAATGAGACATGTTTACTCAGACTGTGGAAGTATCAGCCTGTTCGGATACTTTGTCACAACATTCCTTCCGATTTGCTTTAACCAAGTATTTATGTATGTCAACTGAGTAATTTAACTCATGTGGAATGACCTATTTCTATACTAAATACTGAGATCAGAAACATATTATCCTATTATAGTATGTTTTCTGGCTAATTCAAACTCGATTTATGTACATTAAGAAAAATACAACATATGTAATTAGATTTAAAATGTTTTAAGGGGGTAAACTAACCAAAAGCCTTTTGGAGTTATAAATACAGAATGGTTAAACACTGTTTTGAAGACATCATTCAATATGCATGTATATTTGAAACTTTTCTACTAAAATTTAAATTAGTAGAAAGGATTTATAGTAGTCCATATTTTACTGGTGAAAATTCCCGAATATACAGTAGTGAATATTGTCAGAATGAAGATTTGTGGGGATTGTAGTAGTTTTAGTAATTGAATTCATGAGTCGATGTAAGCTAGACCACTATTGAAAATCTAGAAGTACTGGACGGCCATTTCGTTCTAGTATGGGACTCCTCACGATCCCGAACACGGAACTCTAACCCATGGCCTTTTGTCTCACTCAAACGCTTAATTTGTAGACCACTGAGCCAGCATCAATCAGTTTTAATGTCTAATTTCAATCGATTCATGATCTTGTGGTGATCTAGCTTAAATTGACTCATGAATTCAACTACTAAAAGTGATTATTACCAGATACGAGTGAAATTTGTAAATCAAGTTTCTAAATAAAATACAGCCCTTCACCGTTACTTAAGACAACCAAAGTTTAATAGGAACTTGATTCATTGTCTAATTCAAACTGACAGCCTCAGAATAGCCAACCGAAGTTATTTTGCCAATATATCTCAGTATTCGTCTATTCAATCAATATGAGATTTATTTCCACAGATGTATAGTGGAAATTTTCCTCGATTACATTTATTCATAAGGACTAAATTTATGATGAAAGAGAAAGGGTTGAATAAATTCTAATCTAAAGAAACTCTTCATTAAGTAATTACTTATCATGATTTAAGCGTACACGCAATAGAGACGTATTTATTAATGTATGTAAGTTTTGTTTCACGTTTTACTTGTTTCATTTATAAATATTACCTTACCTAAGATAACATGAAAAAACCAACATTATTATCATTATTATGACAAACTTAAATAGAAAAGCATAATAATGATATCCAGAAAGAACGAAAGAGACTGCATCCAGTTCATTAGAGTATTATATTTAATCAACAATATTCCGAATCACCACGTATTTTCTTCTTTTTAACAATTCATTATTAAAATTTATTGCTTATTTCAAAGAAAAATTCTAATGATAAAATTAAGTTGAAAAGAATATTAAGATTTATGTTTAGATAACTGTTATAAAATAATTAAAATATTTTTCTTATTACTAAACGAAGAATTATTTCACTTACACGTATATATTATGTTAATCATGAATAATTATTATCAGAAGGGGGTTTTGTGGAGATTTTAGTAATTTTTCTAGTTAAATTCATGAGTCAATTGAAACTAGACCACTATGGAAAACCTGGAAGTACTGGATAGCCGTTTTGTCCTACTGTCGGACTCCTCAGCAGTGCATAGTCTACGATCTTATACCGCGAGATTTGAGCTCAAGGCCTATCAGTTTCACGCGTGAACGCTTGACCTCTAGATTGTTGAGCCAGCATTCAACGATGTTAATGTCTAACTTCAACCAATCCACGACATTGAGCCACTGTCAACCACTGTCTTCAGTGAGTTACTATCTCACAACAGACCTGGTTGAACTTCACTGTTCACTGCTTCTCACTCGAACGCCATTCACTAGTGAGCATATGGTGATTATTATTAGAAGGAGGTTTTGTGGAGATTGATAGGTCCTGGGTTCGAACCTCTTGGGGTGGGATCGTGAATGAGCACTGCTGAGGAGTCCCATACTAGGACTAAACGACTGTTCAGTGCTTCCATGGTCTAGCTTCAATTGATTCACAAATTCAGCCATAAATAATTAGTAATGTAATAAACTGAACTATTACGTCTAGATTTCATTCCCCTGATCTTGAGACCTTCGATTAAATGTACAATATTGATAAACTAACAAAACTACTTGACGTTATTCAAATCAATAGCAAGATGGATTTCCCGAAAAGCAAGAAGTAGATAATTTGACATAGG